CTAAGGCTGCCATGTGCATACCAGCCTGCCAACAGTCGGTAAGATTAGGCGGCTATGACCTGTCTGTAATGGTAACAGCAGGTAAAAACTAAAATTTGAGGGAATAATTATTATTACTACGCTCTGATTATTGACTCCCAATGATTATCGCTATTTCCTAAGCAGTCAAATATTCCTGCATTTTTTCACTCCTTATGGCTCTATTGACTGCTTATACTATTTGACTGCTTACGGTTGCGCAGTTGAACGGTGCCTAGTGCATGGTCACTGTACTTTACTGGGTTGCACTAGCTGCATGCACTACACCATACGTGCTGGTATCGAGTAGGTGATATGGTGAAATCCTAAAACGGGTATTCATGAGGTTATCGTTCTCGAATTTGAAATACGGACTGTTTGTCGCGATAAATCTAATATTGACTTCGTACTTGGTCAGTATGGGAAATAAAACCGTATGAAAGACCGAGGCTTTTATTTCCTATATTGACCTCGTACTCAGTCAATATGAGATACTTATACCCAGCTCATATTAACCCCCACTAATTCCTGTGATCTATAACTGGTGAATATATCTCCATATTCACCACTTTAACTTGGGGTATATACTTTGCTATATTACCCACTTAGAGGTTGTAACTTTTCAACTTTCAAGGGACTTAGAAATTTTCTCTCCAATTGAAAAAGAAAAAAATTGAAGAGAAGAAAGAAGTTTCAGCAGGAATCGACCCTGCAACCATAAGATTCCCAAGCACCTATCTTGACCACCCAGCCACCAGGGTGTTGATGCAGATGTTGGTTGAAAGAAAGGTCTTAGGTCTGGAACACGCAATACTACCTACACATAATAGTATACTATTGTATACTGGGATACTAAAATAGCTATTTCGGACCAGTATTTCAGGCCAAAACCGAAGCTAGGTATAAATAGAATAAACACCTCTGTCTTGTGTTTATGGGAATATAAACACTGTCTATAAAAACCTCGGCTACGCCTCGGTTTTTATAGCAGTATTTATATTCCCATAAACACTACGACATCGGTGTTTATTCTATACGTATCTAATATTGACTGAGTACGAGGTCAATATAGGAAATAAAAGCCGAGTAAAAGACCGAGGCGAAGCCGAGGTCTTTTACGAGGTTTTTATTTCCGATACTGACCAAGTACGAAGTCAATATTAGATTTATCACGACAAACAGTCCGTATTTCAAATTCCAAAATGATAACCTCGTGAATCCCGGTTTTATGATTGCACAACCGTTGCACCACCACCTACTCATGCAGTGACAATGCTGCACTAGGCACCGTTCAACTGCGCGACCCCTAAGCAGTCAAATATAAGCAGTCAATATAGCCCTAAGGAGTGAAATATGCAGGAATATTTGACTGCTTAGGTATGGCAAAAATCTATGTGAGTCAATACTAAGGAGTGATAAGTGTACGTATCATTTCCCACATAATAATATTATCACTCGCCTATTCTTGACCGCCGTAGAAACTTGTGATCACTGAGCGGTCATAATTATATTGACCGCTTAAATTGAGCAGTTATACTGACCGCTTAGCCCAAAGACTTACAGGTAGAACTTTTCCTCAACTTGGAAAAAACAGAAATGAAAGAAGAAAATCTGATGCCATATTCTGCTGTGACTTGCGATATCTGAAAACTTCTGTTTTAATACAAAGAAGTAATGCCCCATGTAAACGGCATATGTACATACTATGTACATGTACTATTACAATAGCATTCCCTACGTTACGACATGAACAATACGGCGAAACGTAGGTCGTGTGAAACTACTTGTTATCGTAGTTAACTTGTCCACAACCTTGTCATACATGAAGACTCTGGAGTATCGTTAGATACTGGCATCCGGTTTTGTACAATTCGGTTTCGCAAAGCTTCCCCTTTCTTTATCTCTGATATTGCTGGACCACCCAAGCTGGGTGGTGTGTTTCCTTGCTGCTTCGAATTGTAGTTGGACCGCATTGTCCAGTTTTTAACTGGTCTCTTCATCGCCCTGCAACGGTCGGCATTCTTTGTTGCCATGGGACTTAGCTTGCGCATATTTTCGCTGAGTTCACCTACCCCTGATTGGACTTGGTACTACGGTTCCATAACCTTGAGCCTTCCAAGCTGGAAGGCTGTTGGTTTGCGCACTGGCGATGTGTTGGAGCTAGATCTCAGTTCTTCGAATGTCTCAGTAGCCTGTTAGCTTTATGCCATGTTATTCACTTTCTGACTGCTTTTTACCTTGTTACAGTCGTGGAAAGTTGCTTCATAACTCGTTTCCATGTGATGTCTTCTATTTTATTTACTGGCTCAGTAATCGAGTTAAAAATTCCTTACTTTCTATAAACAAAGCAAAAAAGTTCAAGTATGCTATGTCATGATAAATTTAGTGTTGCCCTCAGGCTCGGCGACATCATGGATTTCTAACAGGAGATATAGATATCGTAAAAGACCTCGGCTTTAGCTCGATATTTTACTTGTTCAAGATGTCATTGATTTACTTCGTGCAATAATATACTTTTGGTGGACCCCACGTGGATTACTGCGATTTTCACTAAAATCGCCCCGAATGCAGGTTCTCCTTTTACTAGAACAGGTGAAGCTTTCATTTCAGAAAAAAACACTCAATGCCCATCTGATCTCAATTGCCTGATTGCCTCATCTCGTTAGTTATAAATGTGCGAATCAGTAAAAGATCATTGAGAAAGGAAACGTTGACAGAGAATGCTTATGAAAGGTAGATACTTTGGCACGGCATTTGAAATCGCATTTCACGTGGTTATCGGTGGTGTGAATACTTCTGAAACCTAACCGCAATGATAACGTAAATGAAAACGTCAATGAAAAAGAATGATAACGTCAATGATAATGTTGACGCAGGTGTAGTGGTACAGTCTGTAGTGGGTTCGCTCAGCTTCGCGCTGCTGCTGCTCAGTATCTTTTGAACCTTCATGGTCTGTATTCACACTGTTCTCACTGGTCGTTCTCGTGTGTTTGGTTTACTTTCTCACTACGCTGTTCATGTGTCTCCAGCGAGAGAATGGGCAACGCTCAAGGGTTTGATTCAAGTCAAGTAGCTCGCCGTACCGTTATTGGCAGTGGCCGGGATGAATGATTCCATCTACATTCTACAGCTGACTACATTGCTTTGCTTATCTGTTATGTAATCGAGCATATTTAAAGCAATAGCACACAACTGCATTTTGTTATCTGGATACTTGGCAACTTCAAGTCACTCCTTCTGAACAGATAGCCACGGATATAATCGTGGAAATTCAATTTTGTTCTATTCGGTGTGTACTCCATGGGCAGCGGCAAATCTTTAGAGATTTGTCTACTGTTGAATTTATTGGTATCGGAAATCAATAGCACCAGGGTTTTAATGGACGTTGACGGGAATTTCCAGACAAGAAAAGAGACATTCATGCAGGGCATATAGTTCTCACAATGCATGGTTGTTTATGGCGGGTTGCAATCAGAACTTTTCCTTCCTCGACTATTAGGCCCTGTACTGTTTCAGTGCAAGCATCATGGATGGAGAGGAAGGGTGCACGTGCGCTTGAGAGGAAGTGAAAACAGAAAACGCTTCTTCTGTACAGATGTTTCACCTGCATAACCCTGGGGTGGGGGCGCATGGCCGGGGGGGGGGTGCATGGCCGGGTGGGGAGGGGGAGGTCCATGGACTTCTTGTACCCCAGATGACCTCGATGCGAGTTCTCAGGCAATAATGAAACCTATTTCTAACATCTTTTTCAAATACAAGTAATCATCAATTGAGTGTGTTGAGAAGAGGTTGGTGCGACTTCGGCGATAGTACTAGTAGGGGAAGAGTGTGTTGCTCCATACGTGGGAGCTCGCTGTTTTCCCGCCGACTTGAGTTCTCACTTGACTGACTCACGACTGCCATCCAGAGCACACGAGAAGTCTATCGAACCGTCCACTCGGCAAACCTGCAAGACAGCACCACTCCCTGCTCAATACACAGTGTTTCGGGTAAATCACCCCTCATCAGTTGAGCTTGAGTAGGCTGAGGAAGATTGTGCCTGAAGAGCACCACTTATATAGTGCTCTCCAGGCACAAACATCACCAGGAATACAAACGTACAGAGACGCTCCGTTTCCAGCGCGACAAACACCTCGTGAACACCAGATAGCAGCGCGAGTCAGTGTGGCTCATGGTGCTCTACGCTGAATGCATTTCCTGGCCCTGTGCTTTAGTGGCTTGGTCTAAGAGCTCTGCTAGCTGGATTTGCTACATGCATGTAAATAACATAGCATAAAGCTTCCTTTTGGGAGAGAGTCGCAGCAGGCTGGTTATCTGATACTGTGATAATGTGATAATTTTGAAATAGCACGAGGGATAAAAACCAGAAAAGATGGCCTGGTCGATCTCCTCACAGTTTGCAGATAGGTTTCCTGCGGGGTGTTCAGCAACCATGCAGCAGTTTGCAACCTATGACCCGGAAACACCTCGAAATTGACCAAAAACGAAGGAATTTCTGACTATTTTCCTCAACCCATATGAATATTTCAGACTAGTGCGTTTTAAAATTACAGACCCCATAGGCCAGCATCTATGCCATATAAAATCTGTGATCATTTTTCTCATATTATAGATTTCTAGGCGATAAGCCGATTGGATTACAATCACCCATTTCCGAAACTGGACGTTTGTAATCCAATCGGCTTATCGCCTAGAAATCCAAATGAGAAGGATTGGGGGAACTGCCTGAGCAATAATTATATGGAGGGGATTTCTCAAAAAAGCTCAAACCGCGTTTGAATTGTTCGCAAAGGTCTAGATGTCTATGCGTTTGAAACGCACTATAAAGCGTACACGATGAAACTAGGAAAAACCACACCATCATGAAAACATTCGCTCACCTGAGTAGTGGCGACATCACCACCACACGAAGCCATGTCTACTGTACATCCTTGAAAGAAATGACCAGCATCTCCAGCTACTACTTCGAATTACTTTCATATCCTTTATTTTTATTGCCGAACCCACAAATCGTGATACAGATTGTAAAGAACCATTCCAGGTAGAAGAAAAATCCATCAGTTCGAGGTAGCTACTACTTTCATTGCACCACGAAAATGACAAACTTCAAAGGCCATAACGGGAACGATATACGGCTTATAATGTACTGAGCATTGCAAGACCGTGGACTGCCGATATCTCCACCACCGCCTAGGCCATGGCTTCTAGAAAGGAATAATACATTAACTTTAATAAATGGGCGCCTTCAGTGTTCTTCATAGCTGCAACAATGTAATAATGCCGATATTGATGCTGAACAGCCAACCACATATCGTAGACAAAAAATTCAGTACTTGCAACAATAATATTATTACTATAAACGAAATAGATGAGGACTCTCAAACAGTTTAAGGCCAAAATGGGCACTTGCACAATTTCAACAAGAATACACCGTATTATTCCATAGTCATTACCAGTACATAAGTACGTCATGATGTTGACATCGATGATCGCTCTCTTGTCATCTTTACTCCAAGCAATTTACAGTAGCATCATGCCTTGATCTAGCGTCCATTGCCAGCAATTGCAACAGGCAACACCGATTGCCTAACCCTATCATGATAGACCCGCAGGCGAACGAACAGTTCGGCCTCTCCGCCATGGTTGTGAACGACGAAGCGGTAGCGTCCCTGGTCGCTGCGCCGCACACTTCTGAGATCCAAACGCACAGATAGGACGTCGGCCTTAATCTGGCGAGACAGGAACGTGTGACGACCCGCCTGCGAAAATCTGCATGAGTTGTCCAACATAAACCATGAGAATGGAATGAGTGTGCAGTTCAGTACCTTACCAAAAGGCATCATTTTTCCGGAGGACGAGACTCCTGAACAGTAAAATCAATTTCACGTCAAGTAATACAAAGAATATTAGAGACCCCAAACGCCCAAGCACTATGTTATTGACACTATTAAATCCGACTTTATCCATTTGTCGTTCTGAAGTTGGGCCATCAATAACCAACAATTGTGTGTTTGGACAGTATTGAAATAATTACATTGATAAGTTGGAGGGAAAGTTGCAAACGGGACACAATGACCGTCACCAACCCAGCCCCACTCGCACCAGAGACCCTTGCTTATAGCCCGGATGCTCTACCACTAAGCTATGGTATAGTCTTCATCCAATCTGGGGCAGTAGAACATAATGCCTTAATGGCCGATTAGTTTGCAGGCCTGCCTGCGAAACATGAGGTCCCGAGTTCCAGACCCGCGCTGGTAGCTGGTATGTTGAGCTGCGCCGACAACCACGGTCAACTGGGTACTCACAGCTCGGAGTGAGAATAACAAGGATGCAGTTTACAGGGTTATGGGCCGTTGCACGCCTGACTGGTTGAGAGACTAACCTCCTCTCCCCTGACTCACTTGTGAGGCCTGCATTCGCCACTAAGGTGAACAGGCATAGTGGTGGCCTGAAGATGCGAAGGCTAGTTTGTGTGTTGTGTTGTGAACATTCCAGCGATGCCGACGCGGATCCCGCGAATATTATTATCATTTTCTTCACAAACTCACGAATCCGCACAGGCTGGTGGGTCGCAGCCCTCGCTGTAACCCACACACTTCACGTACAAACTAACACGTCAACGCCTATCAACATTGTTACTGCACGCTTGTAATCATTAATAGCAAGGCGATCAAGACACGCAGAACATCGCACCCTCTATTTTCAGGTGTGCCAGAATGGACCGATCTTCATGTTATTTCTATAACTTAGAATCTTCCAAGTTGGAAGGCTGTTGGAGTGCGCATCCAAGATGTGCTAGAGGTGTAAGCCAGTTAGTTATAGAACGTCAGTACAGCCGGTCAGTGGCGTGCAATTATGTTATCGCATGAGCTGATTGTTTAGTAACTGGCGGTGTTAGTGTACATTATAGCGTAACTTGTAGTTTCTTGGTCCTCTTTTTCTTTACTATAACTAAATCCAAATTTTGTTTTTTGTTTTTCGGCAGTGGTGTGTAACTGTGCAAACCATGAAGTGGCTACAGTGGAGTCTGCACACACATAGGAAGGTGTCGCAGACATTTACTCTTTTAAGGGTTTCCTCAAAGGCTGTGGCCATGATCGATAGCCGATCAATACCACTTCACAAATAGGTTCTATTCAGAAACGCTTTTCATCTCTCCTCCCCCCTTCCATCCCGCAAAACTATGAGTCATTATAATGACTGTATTGCCTTACCGAACCCTGGTGCGTGGTGGTGCGCTTTCAGCATCCTCCAGATTCCACCTTGAAGCCGTCAGAGTAATGGGTGGAGTGCCTTGCACGTGGAAAACTGCAAGTGTGACGTTCTGGCCAATGACAGCTTTCGCATTGTGAACTGATATGATGATTGGTTTCTCTATGCATGCACAACATACGAACACCAGAAGGAAAACAACATAGACAGCATACATAGAGAATAGAGAATATATTCAGAACTCGAGCATCCAACCGATCTGGATCTCACAGGACATTTCAAACAGTTCACTCTCCCATACTTCACACAAGGAGACAAAACGACCATCGTGTACATGTACTTCAGAAGTATGAACTACTTTAGTCATGCATACGGCGATTGGTGGTATGGCTATATTAAATAATTTTATTATAATTATTATATGGTTAAAGATACATGTACATGATTGTGCAGTGTCTGGTACACGCTCTAGACAAAGGCTAGAAGTGATGCCTTTATACAGTGCATATGGGAATAAGGTAGCTCCGCGTTCGAGTACACACACCGGTGTGTGTGTGTGTGTGTAGTGCTAGGGCTCCGTAGCGCCCCGCCTGTATTGTATTCATCAGGTTGTACTTCTTTGGCCAGCACTCTATAGTCTCTAGTATATTTTATAGCAGACGAGTGCTGGAATACTCGACCCTCTGGTTCTAGTACTGCAAACTCACGTGCACCATTTGCGATCACATTGAAGGCAGGCTCGATTTCACCATATTAATTGTGAAAACATTTCACAGCACCAGTCGAACTGGCTGTCCGCATGCATAGGCATTCTGGCCTCAGCTATCACATGTCTTACCGCAGCACCGAAGATGGCGAACATAGCTATCCAGACTGAGATAGGGCGTACCAAACTGAATGATGATTTTTTCGCCCTGTCCGTTGCCATGTATTAAGCTATCACCTGTTTAATGCCTTTCAAGACAGAATGCTTACTCCCCACAGGCAAAATCTTACCCTGCACCACAGCATAGATGGCCCGGGTGGCGTTACCAGCCTCATTGACTGAGATGCAACGATAGACGCCATTGTCGCGGTGGTTGAAGCCCATCACTTCCAGTAGAGACTCCGACACTCTCTTCTGAGGCGCGTGCGGATCGGTGCGAATAAGCTGATGCACTTCACGGGCGCGTCCCTCTTTTTGCGGCAGAGTTTTGCCATTGTACAGCCACTGCACCTGTAATGTAGAGAAAGATTTGCGTGGAAGTATGCGAGACTGTTGTCACGTGAAAATTTGAGGTCGTACATATTAACAGTTACTTTTGTAAAAGTTCGCATAGTACCGTTTTCGAATTCTGGTACCCTAGCGTTTTAGCGTCTCGCACGTATAGTGCTCGATATCGCGGAGAATCACTGCACAAACAGAACGATACACTTTCTTTGAGGTGCACAGAGGCAATATGATATGCCTGGGTTCTGCAAGAGTGCTCAATGCCTGATTCAGGCAGAGCGGCGTACACAAAGGCACACAATGAAACCCTTGGCAAATTAATTCCGTTGTGACTCAGAGTTTCATGGCTGAACCAATCATCAGACAACGATAATGGAATAGGAGGCAGCGCTGGTATATCTAAGTGGAGGTGGTATTGGGGAACATTGTATTTCTGTACTGGGCTGTCAACGACAGTATCACATGTTGGCCATGATTTCGCGAATGGGAAGGTAGTGTGGCGTCCATAGTGATCAGGGGACGTGCTGCCGACCAACTGGGAGTAACCCCGTTTCTCAATGCCGTGTGCCTTTCCCGAGCAGGTCAGTTCCAGTGTCATTTCGTCAGCAGTCTGGCACTGCTGGATGAAATACGTGTTCTTCAGGCTCCTGTCCAGCTTTCTGGCCTTGGCACGAGCAGTGCAGTGTTGACTGCGGAGATCATCATTGCAGCGGTTCTTCATGATCAGTCGATGTAGTCTATCTCGCTCCCGTACGCAGGCCACAAGTTCTTACCCACGGGCGCCGGGCGGGGGCGTCTATCCCGATTTCGCCTCATCCGCGCGGGTGCGTGCTTATCCAATGTTGACACTATAGTATAGAGGCGACGAAAGATGTTGCAAGGGTGTTGACATCATCTATGGCGAACAGAGAGACCTGCCCTGCACTGAGATCGCTGTTGAAGGTGTCATAGTTTATCCTATGGATGCGGCGTGTAGGTCTGTAGCTGGAAGTACGGCCTGTTGAAAGCCCTGCCACAGAGAGATTCCCAAGTACTGCAAAGTGGTCACTAATGTCTAGGTAGGCTATCTCACAAGGTCCCGTCAGCGGGGAAGTTGATAGGAAGAGATCAATGATTGACTCAGTAAGGGTGGTGGCACGTGTCGGTGAAGCCACATAATTTGTCATACCAAATTTGTTAAACAAGTCAGTTACTCGTATGGCCATGGGTGACTGGGGTCATTTTCATATCAACGTTGAAATCACCCAGCACGACAGTTGCCAGAACCTTCTTTCCTGGTGCATGAACTGATGAGCTTCCTAACAACAATTCACTTCGCCTGGTCAATGCCTGTGTGCTGAAGGAACGTGCGTTGATTGGGGATTTCCTGTACTGTGTACGGCCGGACTCTCAATTGTAGCTGGCACGTATATGTACGTTGTTCCCTAGCTGTTCCCACTGTAAACACTGCTGCACGTATACTTGACAATGTCAGCATAATTATTATGGTGGTGCTGAGATTATCAGATTATTCTGTAGGGAGAAAAGGGAGAAAGAGACGGAAGGGAGGGAGGGAATGAGAGAGAGAGTCAAAGGGTGGGACAGACCGAGAGAGCCAGAGAGAGGCAGTGAGAGAGTGAGATGGATAATGATGATATTTTCTTGAACCTGGCCAGCCTACATGTATATTGTTACCATGAGAACCAAATAACGCTACGGCAGAGTACAATACCTACGGACTGGTCAGCTAGATGGACGCTGAATTTTCTCGCACGTACTAGTCCAGTACAGTATAATTATGTTGATGTCGGAATCACTAACCTGAGCATCGGGATAGGCACGAACAGTGCATGGTATGCGAAAAGTGTCGCCTTCAGCCACCAGGAAGTTCACCGTTTCGGCATCCTCGCGGAATGCATCGATTTGAGGAGGATACACGACTGCACACATCACACATGAAGTACACAAGACCAACGCATCTAGCAAACTGCAACATAGTATTACACTTGGTATTGCAATGCAGTTTGACCGGTTACTTGTTATGCATGACTTTTCGCCGATATTTTACCATGGGACTCTGGCGTGAACAAGTGCGACGTGTGGAACAATACAGAGGGGAGTGCAAGTTTGAGAATATTAGAGTTTGGAGGGCGAAAGGGTAGGAATAATGGCGAGATAGTCAAAGAGGGGGAGAAAACAAGAGAAATTGACAGAGATTCTGAGAGCGTGAGAGAGAGAGAGAGATAGTGACAGAAATAGTGATAAACTATAGTGCGTAAGCAAAGAATGGAGAGGAGATTGAGAAAGAGACACGGAGAGAGAGAGAGAGTGAAGGCGAAGTAAACAGTACATGTACTTGTATCCGTGTGTGTGTGCGTGCACTAAAGGCTTACCTATGACTCTCATATACTCTGTCCATTTTCGGGTTCCGTCGACTGTGCTGACCTTGCACTGATACTCGCCACTATGTTCGTTTGTCACACTATGAATGGTCAGGTGCGTACGTGCTGATAGGCCTATTCGCTGTTCATCCCAGACGAAGGTGGATGCAGGAGGATTGGTCTGCAGAGGGACACCACAAGAAGAGGTGCAGGCATAAACATGAAAGCGAATTTGGTTTCTTTTTCGGTATCACTCTGATGCAGGGAGAGTATACATGTAGTTGCGTGCTGTGCAACACCAAGGGCATCTGGATTCCTCTTGGCTCTTGATTACCGTGGTCAGTTCGCCTGTAACATTTCCCCTGCGCCATGCACTGCATAAACAGTTTTAACTGTAAAACACAGATTGCGTCTTTGCCGCTCTACCCCAGCGGATTGTGAATCCATGCCGTATGGCCTACGGACACAAACCATGTAAACTGCAATACGACAGTTGAACCCTGGTCCCTGGGGGTTTTGCCTGTTGAAACCTGTGTTTATCGTGTACTATGTACTTCGAAGTACCACAATGGGTGCCGAAAGTATTGATCGACGGGTGGGCAAAATTGGTAGTGTTAAGTGACCATGTATACATGTACAATGTCATGTATACACTTTAGTTCTGTCCGCAGATGGAGTACTTCAAGTGCATGGGCTTATTAGACGAAGGTGTGTGTGTGTCACTGGGTGCGTGTTGTTGACAGTGTGCACGCAGTCAAGTCACAAACAGTGTACATGTACATGTGTGCTTGTGAGCGGAGAAAGCAGGACTCTGGATGCATGGAACTACACGTAGACGTTCACATCATCCTGACCAAGATCAACGTAGGCAATGCTGCATGTACACGGTTTTTTTATAACACAATGAACCGTGGCATATTGACAATGACACACAATGAACCGTGGCATATTGAGGCCCTGGTAGTGACATAACGTCCGATAAGGCATAATGAAATTGCTCCTGTAATACAAGTGTGCGATCCAAATCACCGAATGTAGTATCACAAGACATGATCGTGATCAAATGGAATTTTCAGGCTTGGATGAACACCGTAGTAAAGTTTTCTAAACATGGAATCTCCTAAAGTGCCGGTTTTCAGGTAACCAAAAGTTGAAAGAGAAAATACTGAATGACTAAATTAATGTTTAGTGAAGATTGGAAACTCAAACACTTGATGCCTTCGCCTCTTCATCTATCAGTGACGTTTGGCCCTGATGCCTTCTCACAGTGAATAAAAGACAGGCCCTAGTCTACACAAATTACCCGAGGTGAGAAAGCGCTGTGCTCAACGCGCGCTGAAGGGCTAGTGTGCAATTTAGCGGCTGCGGTCAGCACACTGCCGTCGATTGGAAAGCAGCTTCCACTGTTGCTTTTTCTACATGGATACGGCTCTCCACGACGTTCATTCTAAGAAGTGTGTGTCTGCATTAGAAGCTGTCAGCAATAGATTTTAACTTTCAGGAAGCTGCGTTTTCTTAGAAGTTTAACCTTTTGACTGAACCTTTGCAATAGGCGTCGTTTCTTCAGTGTTGACTGAAGTCGGCCGCTGACCGCTTCCTTCTCCCGAACAAATTCGTTCTCAGACGCTTGGAATAAATCCTCCTGTTCCGTTGCTCCGAAAGGTTCACCGATTCCAGTGCTGAGATCTGCCACTCTCTGGTCTGAATATCGGAACTCGCACAGCAAGAAGAACAACACAGCAAAGAGGACCAGTACCAGGAGGAGAAGATCAGCAAACCATCCCTGGAAGGTGCTGCGATTTCTGTCAACTCCGGACTGAGATCCGTTCCTCTTTCCCTGGCTACTGTTCCTCGGCGGCGCGTTGGCCAACTCATTGGGTAGTGCTCGAATACTTGCACCCTTCATTTGCGCTGTCCATTGTCCCATGCAGAAGCATAATTATTATCATCGCTATGATGAATATCCACCATTTCATTGATACGTCGTTTGTCACAGCTGCTGTGATTCGTGGCAATACTCGTGTTGGGCTTGATGGGACTATCTGCTGCGGCGGCTGATGTTTTCGGTACTGTTTCTGCTCTTCTGCCTGTAGCGGAATGCCGCTGTGATCATTAGCACAGTATTGCTGGTCTCCTTCCGAGTCAGCGACTGGATTGACAGGCTTATCTGCAAGTCTGTAGAAATCTTGTGCAAGTGCCTCAGCAACTAGTTCTGTGGATGAGCAGGAGCACAAGACGTGCACATCTGAGTTTACGCCATACACCGCAGCACACTTGTACACGTTTTCATGGACTGGTGCCCCATTGCTTCTCGCATCGACATTATCGGGACTCATGTGTTCCTCCTCCAATCCAGTAAGACAATCAGCCACGCCGAAACGAGTCCAGTCAATAGAATGGCCTGCCGTGCCTGCGACTGTTTCAGTATTCACAGATCCAGTTCCACACCATTCACTACTCAATGCAGTGAGCGCTTGGTCGCCCATCCTGCCATCACATCTCTCCAGGAACACTTCTCTAGGTGTGCAGCTGACAAACTGCAGGAAGTGAGGGCCAGGTTTGCTGGTGTCCTTGCACGCCCCATCCATCAGATGATAAATATTTGTTCGGAGGCAGTTTCATATTCTGGCACCCCGCTTGCTTCTCGTTTTGCCAGAACAGGCATCAAAGGCATGTCTTTATGATGAGTGAATGACTGCGCTTCCTAGCGGTCGGTTATACATAATATTATAGGGTTAGCCAGGTGCTCACAGAACACTCTCATCGCAAACATCGCGTCGTGATACTGGTCGCGTAAAACACAAGTCTATGCATGAGATTACCTCGGTGTGCTCTCGTTCATTCGGAACTTCTGCTTATGGCCTGACCCAAAAACCTGTATACATGTAGGTCATTACTTATGTCGAGACACTTGGAAGCAATTAGAAAGCAGCAAAATAATCGGGAAGGTACCGATAAGCAGCACGCCCTTGAATTTGAAGGAGCTATCCAAATAGACTTAGCTGTACTGTGTGCTACGTCATTGCGTCAGTCACTAGCCTGCACAACGTTACTTTAATACAATGATTGCATGTACATGTACATGTATGTACACGACACTGCACCTTGCTGATGATGGTCACAAGACAGAAGCGGAAAAAACACTGAATTTCTTTATTTTAGTGTTCTACTACGCGAAATGTTCTATTACTATTACCAATGATTATGTACACGATGGATAGCAGAGAGTACTAAAATATCTGATGGACAGTCGACAGATAGAATACGAAGGTGGAAAAGGTGCACAGCAGAGCCAAGTAGAAAAGCAATACAAAGCAGCAATAAACAAGGAAACAACGACAATTGTAATCGCCTGCACATACAACATAAAGTTTCAAGTACCATGCAGGGCTGATGTGTGGCTGCGACTATGGCGTATCTCCTAAACTAACTTCCTAGGCGCGACATGCAACGCCCAGAGCTCACAATAATATATGCGCAAAGAGAGAACAGCAACACGCTGCGAAGGAAAGTAAGGTTCGCCCATCCGCGTTAGCGAGAGGATATGTAACGAGGAATCTTGTTTTCTTTCTGTGTAAGCGGTAATCATACAGGGATGATGTCTGATGATTGGTAACAGCAGAGTTAAAGCAATACGACTGTGCAAGGCTCCGCGCCTTGTCCCAGGTATATTGGTGCGTTTCTATGTCTCTCCCTATCTCTCTCTCCCAATCGCGCTCTCCCTCTCTTTCTCTCTCTATCTCTCTCCACCCACGAGGACACAACATGCTCTCTGGTCACACTTACACCACGTTCAGTTGGATTACGGAACTCTGATGATCAGGTTTTTCATGCACAACTAGCGTGCTCTTCAACATACGTTCGCAAAGATATTCTAATAGAGGAGTAATAGCGAGACTGCTGCTGATCGGTTGGTACTCTATCACTGGATCGGACCATCCATTGACTTTAATACAGTAGCATGGCCTGTTTTCTTGGAGGTCATACATGTACTCTATATCTAGGTTCAACAGTTGCCTACATGAAGTTGGATATAACTCGGGTTTTCAATAATGTTCAAGCCCACTCTTAACATGACCTGTTCTGTATGTGTGCGTGTACGCCAACTCAAGTACTTCAAAGTAGGAACACTGTCTTGATGTGTGCTTCTTGGGTGTGGTGATAGTTTTGACATGATCAAGATGGCGATAATAAACACTGATTTAACACCAGGACAATACATCTTGCAAAGTGGTACATTGTTACCAGCCATGCTAGCGGGGATTGGATAGAACATACAACTGATTTCATTCCAAGGAGGCAGTCAAAGAGACAGTCGAGTCGTTTGATTTTAGGTCCTATGATCAGTCATGTTATTCTTTTTTGTTTGTTTTCTATGACAAAATGCAACCTCTTTATTCATAACCTAATTCGGAGCTACTTCTCTGTGGCCTACATTTCAATCCAGGAAGCTTCTGATACCGTGAACATCAAGGTGGCTGAAGGAGACACGCTCCCAACACCATTCACTGCTCACATTTAATCTGATGCTTACAAATATTTACATATAGGTCAGGTCTCTGCTTGGATGACGACTACACCATAGCTCAGTGGTTAGAGCATCGCTGGCTACAAGCGAGGGTCCCTGGTTCGAGTCCTGGTGGTGACAGTCAATTTTTTCTTCAGACTTTTCCCGTTTGTGTCTTTCCCTCAAAACCAGTTAATATTTTATGACTTGGGGCTCCCCGCGTGCTAGTTTGTACGTGAAGTGTGTGGGTACAGTGAGGGCTGCGTCCCACCCGCCTGTGTGGATTCACAGGAAGTGTGAGTCACGAAGTCTGAGGAAAACGTTGAACGGTCTCTGCTTGGATGACGACTACACCATAGCTCAGTGGTTAGAGCATCGCTGGCTACAAGCGAGGGTCCCTGGTTCGAGTCCTGGTGGTGACAGTCAATTTTTTCTTCAGACTTTTCCCGTTTGTCTCTTTCCCTCAAAACCAGTTAATATAGGTCAGTGTTAGTGATATTATCATGGATGCAGTGAATGGGATTTTCGGTCTTTGACCACTTTGGTGGTGGGTCTGATCTACTCACCTCCCACCGCTTAGGAGCTGCATCTGCGCCTTCATCCAAGAGGGTGGTGGCGTTCTTGCGGATGCGGAAAACTCGGCCGGAGAACCATGAATTTTTTATTAGTGATAT